GGATAATATGCAAAATGTGATATATACATACAATGGAATATTATTTAGCCTTAAAAAGGAAAGAAATTCTGACATAATACTATAATACTACAACGTGGATGAACTTGGAGGACATTATGCTAAGTGAAATAAGCTAGTCACAGAAAGACAAGTAAAGTATGATTCCACTTGTATGAGGCACCTAGAGTAGTCAGATTCACAGAAACAGCAAGTAGAAGGGTGGTTGCCAGAATCTGCAGGGGAGGGAAAGATGGGGAGTTGTTGAATGGGTATCGAGTTTCAGTTTTACAAGATGGAAAAACGATCCTGGGACTAGCCCTCATTGTTGTCCATAGCCCTCTACTTTCTTTAGAACTTAATCATCACCCTTTATTTGTAGACTCATATGATCTTTTACTTATACTTCTATAATCATAACCCCTACCTCAAGTCAACATGTTATCAGTTTAGTGTAAAAAACCTCTGTTGAATGTGATCTGTTTTAGACTGGAGACCTTTGTAGGAAACAACAAATCATTGTGAAGCTATTTGGATAACAAATTTGAAGAGTGTGGTTTACACATTGTAAGGAGGGAAAAAAAAAATTGTTGTCCTTGTCTACAAGTTATATATGTCTTATTTTTAATTTTTAAATAGATAAACTATTGATGTACATTTTTGTTGCTACAACTTTGAGGATGTGAATATATCACTTAGATTAGGTAGATATATCCAAAACTCCAGAATTGTCCATTGAAACCTGTGATGTCTGTGATTTACTGTGTGGTATAAATTGAATGTTTTTAGTATCTTTTGGAACTATTCGTGCTTTTTTTGTAGTTGGAAAACTTTTTCCCATTAGAAAAGCTTGAAGTAGTTTTCATTTGCTTGTTTGTTTTGTTTTTAAAGACACAAGAGGATTAGAGCTCTAGGACGCCTAAAAGAAATGATTACAAGGCTTTAAAGATTTCTGGTCTTCTGACTAAAGTCCAGAGTCTTTTCAAGGGATTTGCCAAGGACCAAACCCCACCTGAAGTCACTGGGAGCCAGACTTCTTTCCATGATGGTGTCCTGTTGAAACGTGCTTCCACATTCTGTGTTTCAGAGTGAGGGTCCCAAGTGACTGTTTATCATAAGTATGGTTAGATGTTCAAACCTTTTATACCAGAATTGTGCATTGTAACATAAAAAGTTTTTAAACCTATGTTTAACTTAAAGAGCCTTAATTGGCAGTATCCGTAGTTTCATTGCATTGCATCACTGGGATTACTGTGAAATATTTGAGTCTTGTATAAAACAGATTAATTTAGATTAAAATCTTGAGGAGCTAATTTAAAAGTATGTCTCACGATACTATAAATTGAGATAGAATAGATAATAAGCTTAAGTAGAGAATCCTTTGAAATGTCTTTGAGCAAAGCACTTCTTGTGACTGAAGAAAAGGTGTTTTTTCTTACCTGATTTAGTGTTACAGTTTATTCATTCATATTCTCAGGAATTGAGACCATATCTTATTCTTTTTTTTTTTTCATACATAGGTAAACCTTTTTTTTTTTTTTTTTTTTGTGAGGATGATCAGCCCTGAGCTAACATCCATGCTAATCCTCCTCTTTTTGCTGAGGAAGACCGGCTCTGAGCTAACATCTATTGCCAATCCTCCTCCTTTTTTTCCGCAAAGCCCCAGTAGATAGTTGTATGTCATAGTTGCACATCCTTCTAGTTGCTGTATCAGGGATGCAGCCTCAGCATGGCCGGAGAAGCGGTGCGTCGGTGAACGCCCAGGGTCCGAACCCGAGCCGCCAGTAGCGGAACACGAGCACTTAACCGCTAAGCCATGGGGCCGGCCCATATCTTATTCTTTATTGTGACTAGAGTTCCTGACATAGTTGAGTATATTTCCCCTTTGAGATTAATGTTCCAATGAATGATGTTTAAAGATTGAGGGGAGTCCCCAAAATGTACTCCCTATAGATCCATAATGCTCATCAACCTAGCTCACAGTTGAGTTACTGAAGGTAATGGGATTTTGGGCAAGATGTTTTTTAAATCATTAATTCAAAGCTCACTAGTTCAAAACTCTAATTATAGCTAGATATTCTAGGTTTAAAAGAAAACCCAGTTTGCTAACCAAAAAAATTTTAAAGTAGCCTAATAAAATCTGAAGAATGATCTTATGTAGAACTAACTTTTCCTACCTCTGTAGTAATCATTTACATGGAATCAATGTTAGTGCAGTCATGTGGATTTGCACTGCTTATCCCATGCTTAGATATGATGTTAATAAGTCATTTTCATCTACTCTAGCCTTTAAACAAAGAAGAACCTGACTCCTGGTATAAGTTCCAAAGTAACACAACTAAAACCAAATAATAATGATTATGGCATATCCCTGGGAGGAAAACCATGCAGCCATTAAAAATCATATTATATGAAAGAAGTTATATTGTAGAAGAGTTTTGTTGAAGGGGCAAAATATTCATAATGAATATTATGTTTTAAAAACATAAATGTTTTTAAAAGAACCACAAAATAATATGTACAGAATAATAACCATTTTTATTTATAAATATAGTATATATTTGGTTTAACATTATAAATATATATTGTTTATGTAAGTTATAATATTATTTATATAAATTATAGTATAATATTTTTTTAATATTTATTTTTAAATATATTATGTTTATACCTACAAATATTAGCAATACGTGTAATTTTTAAAAGACAGACTAGAAAAACACAAAAATTATTTAACAGTGATATTTTCTCAGTTCTCTGAGTGGTAGAATTTTGGGTGATTTTTGTTCTTCCTTTGGAATTTTTTTAATTTTCTACATTAAGCATGCACCAATTTTATAATAAAGAAAAATATAGTATGTGCTATATAAATAAATGCACAAATAAAAGCAATACACTTTTTTCTTACTCTGTAGTGTAGTTGAGGCTTTTTGTAAATTTAGACGCTCCTAATTATTAATTAGTTCAAATTTTCAAATTTTTATTCTGCTAATTGGCTGTTTAAATTGTTTGAACAGTGAAACATGAACCAAGCAGAGTTATTCTTTGTCCTATTTTAAATGGTTGGTGCTTAGTGTAGAAGAAGCTGAAGATGACAAGCCAGCATGACATTACTTTAGGTTAGTCATGCTGTTTAAAATCAGTGCTTACAAGTTGTGTGCATGTGTTTCCAATAAAGACCTATTTGCCACAGCAGAAGACTACTTTCGTTAACATTTCGTGCTTCGTTTTCACACTCCTGTTTATTCATTGTAAGTTGTTTGACCTGCAGTGGTTCTTAAGTCCTGAAGGAGTGTCCCTTGACGGTACAGTCTTCTCCAGAGTTTTCACCTTTGGAAAGTTAGCAACCCCTGCCGGTTCAGAATATCCATTTAGGTGGATCTCAGAAAGGATTCCAGGACACCTCTGTTGTTGCATGCCCGCCCTTAGTGCTTTGTTCACTGACCTTGTGGCTCTGGACACATTTTCTTATAGTTTTGTGTGACTCTGTCTCCCCCAGAAAACAGGACACTAATGATTATCATTTGTTAAATGCTCACATTGTGCCAGAAACTGCACTACCCCTTTGCATGTATTAGTTCATTTAAATCTCATAATATTATGAAAAGGAAGCACTATTTTCTAAATGAAAAAGCTAAGGCTTTGATTTTAAACAAGCTGGGATGTGAAGACAGCTCTCCCAACTCTGAAGGAAGAACCGGTCTCGTAAACCAATAACCAAATACGGTCCACCTGATGAACAAGTGTGTCCCCACAGCCCCTGCCAGCTCTGAAGCCCATGATGCTGCCTAATCATTTTTCTAACCCTTATATGAACAAGATAATTTTATCCTCCCTTGTACACATCATTCTCACAATATTTTGAGGGGTAGGTCAGTCTTACTAACCGCAGGTTTCAGAGGATCATAGCATGATCAACGTCTTAAATTCCTAGTTTCGGATACTGAGTTTAAAATCTTGTGTCTAATTTTATCAGTTCTAAAATTAGAAAAAGATGTGACATTGGTTTATTTTCTGAATGCCCTCCTACTCCCTGCTGGTTAATAATGATAGCAGTAAGAGCTACCATTTATTGAATGCTGACTACAATGCTAACTGCTTTATAATGATTATTTGAAGTAGGTTTTGTTACTTTCCCATTTTACAGACGGGAAAACTGAGGCTCGGCAAGGTATAATGGCTCACCTGGTTTTACATACTCATTCGATCATTGATCTAATAAAGGAGTACATTGGGGATTTGAATCCAGTTTTTCCAGACTCTGAATCAAGACTTTGTCTCTTGCTAGTGGGGTTACTTTGGGCTAATTACATAACATCTACTGTGTATCAGTTTCTTGACCTGTAAAATGGGGTGGTGACATTATTTACCTCAGTGTTGTGGTGTGGATTAAGTGAGTTGCTCAACAGAGGGTGCTTAGAACAGTGCTTGACCCATAGTGATTGCTTAGTATTAGGTGCTATAAAAATAATAAGAATTAGCATTAATATTATTATCATTCATGGATTTTAATTGTCGAAATCACATATTAAACCATATAGAAGTCTATGAAGTAAAAAGTAAGTAAATGAAGTAAAAAATAAGTTTAATGTAAGAACAACACTCTCACTCACCACTGAGGTAAGAGCCATCTGAAAACTGTAGATGCAGGCAAGGCCGAAGTCAGCCTTGACTTCGCCCTCTCACCATGTCCTACTTCCTCTCCGCAGTATTAACCACTGACACCAGTTTGGTAAATATATTCTTCTAGGATATTTTCTGTACCATCTGAAACTATTTTTAAATTGTCCTTTCATTAATAAAATACAGGTTGAGAGTGAAGTTTTTTGTAGTGATCTTGAGAATGGGAGAATGGAGAGATAGAAAGGGAGACAAATTCATTCATTCAGCAGATATTTATCAGGTGCTTTCTGTGTGCCAGGCACTCTCCTAAGTGCTGAGGATTCAGCATGTTGAATTTCTATGTTGACGGTGTATTGATTTTCTTTTTTGGTTTTATTTAGGATATGATGTTTCAGCTTCTCCGAGGTCTGGACTTTCTTCATTCTCACCGTGTAGTGCATCGTGATCTAAAACCACAGAACATTCTGGTGACCAGCAATGGACAAATAAAACTGGCTGACTTCGGCCTTGCCCGCATCTACAGTTTTCAGATGGCTCTTACCTCAGTGGTGAGTGAGAGTGTTGTTCTTACATTAAACTTATTTTTCCTCTTTTGAATGACAAATTTGCCCCCATTGCACCCCCTAATGTTATTGCTGCCAGTGGTCAGTTGGTGGATACAATGTCTTGGCACTTTTTTATATAGCAGCGGGTAGGAGGAAAGCATTCTGCTTACAACTACACACATCCGGGCTGGGCTTATTGTGGACAGGACCATTGCAGAAATAGCCTGTTGCATCTTGCCACTAGAAAGGAATCAGTTACAAGTTTCCAAATGCTTTTTGCCATAACCACTGTTTTCAGAGCTGCATGTATAATGTCTGGGGAAACACAGCTCAAGGTCAGGGAAGAGACAGCACTGAGAACGTTGACCTGTCTGCAGCATCCTGGTTTGAGGAACAGCCATGGTGCTCTCACAGGTGTGTAAAAGCACTCCTCTGAAGCTGTGGTGCCAGCTGTGAAGAAGAAATTAAATTTACAGTGAACTTGGATGACCCATAAGCAAGTAGCACCACCCTGCTGGGTGAAGGCTTCATCCAGGCCAAAATAGAAAGAGTAAACCCAAGGGCTCTGTTTTGGCAAAGAATGACAGTTATGATATCCTGTTCTTTGTCTCATTCAGACATGAAACCATAATAGCTGTTGACTTTGGTTAGCTTCTGTTTCTCCTTGTAGTTCATTGTTTCTGAACTGAATTTTTGTGAAATTCAGCACCCAAAATATAAAAAGAGGAGCCTGGAAGTAAGCGCTAATAACCCTTTTTTTGAAAGATTTGTTTTACATACAGTGAATTCATGCACAGATACAAAAAGCCAAGGAATGTCCCTTTACTGTTCTTATTTGGGGCAGAAAGTTGATGAGGAGAATCCTTTAGACTCCACGAAAGCTAAATAAATGGCCCTCAAAGCATTAGATTAAGCCTGAAGAGAAAGAATTCTCTTGGGTCAGTATGTCATTTTTCACATATGGTCCATCTGGAGCCTTTGAGGGGCAGCAGTGCCCTGGGTCGGGGGTGTCCTTGAGCAATGTTTGGCCATGTCTTTGGTCATCCAGATGACTTAGGGGATAGAGATGGTTGCAAGGAGGCTAATATTCTGCACAACAAGGAATTGTTTCCCCAAATTCCAGTTGTGCCTCAGTTGAGAAGTAAAAATTCGGGAGGGGAATTGGAAATTCTCTGAAAGAGAGTGATCTCTTTTTTGTCTCCTTTTTTATGCCTTAGAAAAAAATTCAATTTATAAAAGTGTTCTGCTTCCCCACCCCTCCACCAACCCCAAAATACAGATAATATAACCTGGACATGTAAAACCACTTAGTTTCCCAACATTATATACGTTATCTAGGGCATCAGAATTTTTACAGAGGGTTCCTTGGAATGTGTCACCGTTGTTGAAAGATAAATCATACTTGTTTCCTCTTTGCCCAGCATGCACCATCGCTTTTGAGAAGACAAGGCACACAATGGTATTTAAAGGCTGTGCCTCAGCTTTGGGCTGAGTCAAGTGAGCCCTTGTATTCTTATATAATCACACCAGAAAGGGCTGAGTCCTGTGTTTCCCCAGTGGGAAGGGTGAGGTAGGCTGCAAGCTTCCCTAGGAAGTTGTTTCGCATGTTGTTTGTGAGGCTCTGGGGAGAAGCTTGAATAGGCTTTGTGGTGCAGACAGTCATCAGGGGAGCAGATGGAAGGAACTGGTCTCCTTGGGTACACTAATTGAGGGAAGGATGAGCCGTAACTGAAACAGACACTTTATTTTGATCCCCCAAAATTGGCACTAAAAACCATAAATAAAAACAGGAAACCCAGTTGGATTTTGTTTTGATTTTTTTTTGCTTATTAAATTTGAGGAATAATAGCCCAGCTTGTGCGTAACATCAATTAACATTCCATTCTTGCTGAAAGTTGATATGTTCAGACAGGAAAATGCCGGCAATTTATTTCATAAAGAAAAGGGGAAAGGCAATCATAAATACCTGATTTTGCAGTATCTAGTTTGTACTGCATACTCTATATTTCTTGTGGTGACATAAAGTAAACATTAGCAACTGAGAAAGACACTGGAACAAATTCGGACTTTATTTGAAAGAGTGATAGTTGGAATTTAATGGCAATAATAAAGGATATGATTCCTATAGGGTGCTGCATTTAAAATTTTTCCTATTGTTTTATATTTTTCTATTTAAAGGAAAAATCCATTTAGTATACTGATGCATTGGTTTACGTCCACGTGGTGACGTATAAAGACTTGAAATCACAGTTTTTCAAACTGAACTGGTATTTATTTTTAGTATTTCTTGAAGACAAAAAGACTACACTCCACTTCCTGGAAATACACATTTTTTAGTGGGTTATGTCATACAGGAACTGGGAATCCACTTAATCTGTGGAATGTTAAAGGAATTACAAGTTAACTGATTTGAAACTGATGTCTTACAGCCACAAGAAATGCTAATATATTCCTTATCTTCCAAAGCCTGACTCAAATGTCCCCTTCTGGTACTCCCTGCAGAAATTAATTCCTCTTTCCTCCCTCAGATGTTCCAGAGTAACATCTTATTAATATCTTTCATAATACTGCTTTCTGTCTTATTTGTAGTTATTTTGGGGTTTTATTTATCAGGCTATAAGCTCCTTGAAGGAGTTTGCCTTTTGGGTAGAAATTAATTTGAGACAGTCATTGTAAGTGTGGACTGTAGTTGTAGTTGTAGGTGTGTGACATAGGGCCAAATGACTTAGCTTGTCTCCATCTGATAAGGGAGGGTGAAGTGCCCCTTAGACACCTAACTTTAGGGGCCTGCCTCCAGCATGATAGTCAGGTGTCTTTACAGGGTATTGGCTTCTTGCTGCTCAGTATACAGTCAGGCATGCACATGTACCCATACAGAGTAAGGGTTGTTCATACCTATTTCTTTAAAGGTTGTAGAAATAAAATGTGGGTGGCTACAGTGTATGCCTTAGACCCAGGCAAGAGGGGCCTCCAGCCTGGGTCTCATGCTTTAGAGGAGCCGTCACTGGCCCTGCTCCAGCCATGCCTCCCTTCATGGGACGTGGAATCCAGGGTGCCAAGGAGACATGCCACCTAGAGTCTGACACCACCCCCCCCGCACCCTACCACACTGAGGCATTGGAATTCCCTGACTAAATGGAAATGGCATGGGCAATCCTCGGGTCCTTCCTCCTAACAGCAGATTGTGCCATCTGGGTGTTCACCCCAAGCCTGACGGCAGTTTTTAGGCGTATGAGCAGAGTATGGAATGCAGACTGGAGTGTCTGTAAGCACGTGTGTGAGGCCCCTCATGGTGCAAGAAGGACCTCAGACTGTGGAGAGAGAACAGGTTACAGGGAGGTTCTTTCCATTGCACATAAGCGATACGTAAGAATCATGACTGAGGCAGTGGCCTGACGCTCTGTGGCAGAAATGTTTCAAGAATATGTGCTTGTTCAATAGAATGACTATAAGACTATGTGAAATTATATTTAGAGTCATTCTAAAGTCAGCATTTCTAAGCACTTTCCATGTCAAATGTGATGTATGGTGCAACTCATTTTTGTCTGTCAGGATAAAAGGGAAATAGAGACCAACTGCTCAGTCAGCAGGTTCGGTCATCCCCAGTTGTGCACCAGGTCTGACAGGGAGAGTCTCCGAAGCCCAATGATGACTCGAACAATCATGACATGCTATGAACAGCAGCTCAGGGAGAGAGTAGTCTTCTCTTTGTTTATGATGCAAAATCTTTATTATTTTTTTTTCTGAACAGCATGTAGGGTGATATTGTTGCCATGGGATTTGGTGTTTGGGGAACTCCTTATCAACCATCTCATTTTGAAAGTGGGGAAACTGAGAGTCAGACAGGCAGTTTGTGATCAAGTTAAGTCTGAATTCACCAAATAGGTTGTAAATGGCTTGGAGAATGCTAATGTTTGTAGAATTCTCGCCCCCTGTCCTTACTCCCTTCCTCTTCTCCTCACCAGAGGCTCCAATACTTCAGAAGCTATCAAACTGCGATCAGAACTCTGGGGTTCTACAGACGGCATCCAAAGATTCCATAAATGTTGAACAGTCCATTTTTTTAAATATATTTTAAGTTTTGCTAAAATTGTAATTAAAAAAACAACTAGCTCATGCCACATTTTAACACAGCAGGGAACACTGAGGCATGAATTTGTGCTTCCTGGTTAACTTATTTTTTATGTAGACTTCAGCATGAAACTTCTTCTGTCACACTTGTGCACACCTGAACGTCTTGTAAATGTATCGTTGCTTGGGAAAAATCAAGCATTCTCTGGATTCACTCGTGTGTTTGTCTGCCCTGTTAAAAATCACCCAAATGCATAATCGCGACAGCACACACATCATGCTGTGCTCACTGTACATGAGACCACTTTGAGGGCCATCCAGAGCAATGCCAGTGTTGACATTTTTATATCCAGATGTTATTGCCAACACACAGGCAGTTAAAGCCAGTCACTCCGCAGGACAGTCACTGTAAAGCGGCCCGTGGGCAGAAAGAAGTCTACACCTTAAAATGAGGTCGTTCCTTTTGGTGCCTCAGTAACTTCGCATCCTGGGATGAAGTCCAGGATTGGCCTCCCTCAAACTAATTTCTGCTCTGCGGTGAACAGTATTACAGTGACTTTTCAGTGTACTTGGAGGGCCTTTATACAATCATTAGACAAAAGATAGTACGCGTTTTTCCTCCAAATGCGTGTGTCTAACACACATAGTTGGAGAAAAATTCCACTTTGTACCATAATGAAAAAGTGAGAATGTTCTCCTATCTTTTTAGTGAGTGACTTAATAAAATGCTCACTGAGTGAATTACATTCTCTTCTCCAAAGGTCTTTTTTTCCATATCTTCGCTATTACAAGACATGTGTGTTCTGAAAACATCTTCTGCTCTGTAGAAATTACTAAAAGGCAACAAGTAAATAGTAAGCATGGAAAGGCTTTTATTTGACAGCTCTACAAAGTACAAAAATTCACTTGGGGGTTTTTCTTATATAGAACTG